ATAATACTTGATTATATAAATATATCACTTCTAACAGAATAATATAATGACATTATAGATTTGTGAATATACTAGCACAAGATATTTAAAACATTAGTTAACAAATATTTAATTTTTTATACAAAAAGGTATGTTATAATTAAATAAATATACAATACTAGCCGTGGTAGCTCAGTGGTTAACGCTCGCTGTAAATATAACAGAACGCGAGTAACCCGGGTTCGATCCCCGCCGGCACCAATGAAATTGTTAATTGCAATTTTCAGTGCTGATTTACCACGTGCTCGGCGGTGAAGGAAAACATCGTGAGGAAACCTGCATGTCTGAGGAATAAGAAAAAAAATATTTCGAAGACATGTTAAGTTCGTCAACACGCATTTGGGCAGCGCGGCGGACACTTCCCTGCCCTAAACCCTCTCAGAAATGAGGGGAGGCCTGAGCCCAGCAGTGGGACGTATATAGGCTGTAACTTTACTTTACTTTTACAATACTATACACTTATATATATATATATATATATATATATATATATATATATATATATATATATATATATATAATAAGTTCTTTATTTCCAAGAGGTTGTACATATTTGCATAACATTATTTAATAAAGCTACATTAGTACATATACTTGAAAACATAGCATCTGCAGCCGAACTAGGAGACCTGTGCATCAGCTGTCAGCGCCATATTTCCACCGTTAATTTATAGAAATATTAGGATGCAAGCAAAAGTTAAATAATCAAATACTATCTAAGAATTTGTACATTCCGCTAATATAACCTAAGTACAATGAAATTAATTGTACCACATATTATGTTTATATACTATGTTACCACTTATTACTAATACCAGGGTACAAACAAAATAATAATTTATACTACTAATGCCGTTCCTCTCTCATAAGATGTGTAATGTATGACTGTAAGAAGTAATTGTGTTATGAGTGTAATATGTGTGAGCAGTTATGGGAGAGGAGCGTGTAAAATGTGTGTCGTATGTGTGTGTGTGTGTGTGTGTGTGTGTGTTTGCGCACGTGCGTGTGTATGTGTCTGGTTATTATGATTTTATACGGGTAGTATTACAGGTGACAGTTATATAAAAATTTATTTTTAAGTCTGAATACTAAGCAGGTTTTCAGTTTCATTATAAGTTAATTTTTGTAGGTAATTATGTACAGTTTTTTTACAATTTATTTTATTAAGGTGGTAAATGTCCAATGTTTTATTTAGTTTATTATATAAGTGTGGTCCCAAAAATGCAAAGAATTTTCTTATAAAAGTTGTTTTAAAATTGGTTGTATCTACGGAAAATTTCCTGCGTTTATTTAAGTTCGATCGGTTGTATACTAATAAGCTATGTTGTTTCTGAATGATCGTTAATATAAATAGTTGTCTTACTGTAAGGACCTGACAGTTATCATAAAGCTGTGAAGTAGGATAAAGAAAAGGTTTAAATGTTGCAACTTTGAATATAGCACGTTGAGAGATTTCTATCTTTTGTAGCACCGTTTTAGAGGCACCACCCCACGTTGATATGCAGTATGTTATAATAGACTGACATAAAGCTAAGTAAACTCGTTTTAATATATCTGGATCCAAAACGTGTCTAATAGTTTTAAAAATATATATTAATTTATGAATTTTTTAATTAGTTGTTTAAAATTTAAATTACTATCTATTATAACCCCTAGATATTTAATATATTCAGCAGACTCAAGTGAAAGCTTATGCACACATTCATTGTGTTGATGCTTCAACTTTGAACGGAATTTTGAATGACACTATCACTCTAAGTCTAATTACTCTATGGTTTTACTTATTACAAATTGTTAATCGTAATTTGGTCCTCGTCTAGTAATAATTATTAAAAGCTTCTCTTGTAATATAATGTTTTTGTGTAATTTTCTTTCGAAGAAGAGGATTGCTATTTTCTGTCTTATTATTCTGCATGCTTAGCACCGTAAACAAACAAAGAACACATGCTTATTGTTTCACAACAATGGATGCAAGAATATTACGGAAACTATTCGTTGCTACCTTTATTAGCGATCACGCTTGCACAATTTTTCAGGAATTATGAAGCTCGTACAATTACTATGTACGCTAAATTCAAAAACTTTTTAATCTACAAGGTTTTTGTCTGAAATATTTTACTTTTCGCTATATTAGTGTTCATTATTATAGTTACTTGATGACTCAGTATCGCACCGGCTAAGAATTTGGTTGCAGCGCTACGAGACTGAGGGTTCGAATCCCGCACGGAACAAGTACTTTTATGGACCACAAATTTCTGCTGTGCGTTGAAAAATCCCTATTTTGGATTTTTCAACGCACGGTAGATGTTACAAAAATGATGTGCAAAAAATAATGGTACTGGTGGTAAAATCCTTAGTTTAAAAATTTTTTTGCAAATTTTTTTGTGAAAAATTCACTACGACCCGTGCCGAAATTAAAGTAACGTAATTTTTGTTGAACAAATTATCACGCATAGTCTTGCATTTAAGATAAGTTTCCTAATTTATACATAAATACATAAACACTCACGCCTGTCACCCAGGGGGGTAGGCAGAGACTACAGACTTCCATTTAGCACGCTCCGGACATACCTCTCTCGCCGCTTCCCCAGCTATCTAACTACGCATACATGCTCGTCGGTTAAGGGTACTCTTAATTTGGCCCATTTTTAGTATATCGCCAATTTGGTCAACAAACTTCCGCCTAGGACGTCCCTTTCCGACTCTTCCATTCACTTCTGCAACATATATTTGCTTTGTCAGTCTTTCCGCATTCATTCTTTCTACATGACCAAACCACCGAAGCATTCCTTTCTTAATCCTGGTCACCGCATCATCTTGCAAACCACACTCTTCTTTTATCACACAGTTTCTCACCCTGTCACTCAGATTCAGCCCTAACATACTCCTTAGCGACCGCATTTCTACTGCATTTATTCTACTCTCGTGCTTCTTCTGCCACACCCAACTTTCACTACCATACGTTAAAGTAGGGACTAATACAGCACTGTGAATTGCTATACGTGCCTTTTTTGACACATTCTGACTTTTCACAATAGAGTGTAGAGCCCCATTTACTTTATTTCCTGGGGGGATAAGTCGCTCGCGTCCGTAGGCTTCGACCACCTAATTCTAGGCCCACCCTACACGTTTCCCCCCGGGTGGTGCTAAAAGAGCGACAAAGCCGAAAGAACAGACTCGGCTACTCGCCGTGTGGTAGCGGCGTAAAATATGCCACGCTCTAGTTTTCGCACCATGAGGCAAATAGTAAAAGAAATGGCCCCGAGTTACTAATTCATATTTACTTTAAAAGCATTTTTAACACAACTTGATGTTGACCTTTTCAAGAATGGATCAACTGTTATTAATAGCCGATAATATTTACTTATTTCACTGAGCTGGTCCATTCGGATTGGTGAGGGCAGAACCAACAACTTACAGAAAGTAAGGCTGCCATCTATCACCAGTGCACACAGGGCCCGCGCACATATGCATACAGTAGGGTATATAAACAGCACGGTATGAGGCTTTGGCTCTGGTCCACTTATTTCAGTTATTTCACATCATCATTTATATCACAGTAGCAAGAATTCTAGTCCAGTATTTGAAATCCGACTGTTCGTACAAATACACGCTGTGCACCCGCACGTTGTCGTGCAAAAGCGCCACGTCGTGCGCAATTATCCTTATGACGTCTTTAAACCTTATTCCAGAATACTGTAATAATTTAATAGAAACAGCTTTTATTTGTAATCAATCAATTAGTGACAGACGCTGGCAAATTATTGCACTCTTTTGCATACATACAGTACACAGCAAACAACTTGCTGCATATAGGTGAAAGAAGGGATAAATTAAATCTGATAGTTCCTGTGCACACTTTCTAGATTGCATTCTATGGAACACAGAGAAAGTGACTACTTTAATCTTGTGCTCGAGACTGACAAGATTAGTTTCAACTAAATCAAGATTACAGTGCAGTAGCAGTGACGCCTTCATACACGCATTCAAACAGCTTGACCATAAAACTCAAAAAAGGGGGAGAGCCCTGTGCTGAGTAACTTGAGTTTTATTTGTAACTTTATTTTAACTTACTCTACATCTTAAACAAAGCTTTCGAAACAGTCAAGTTATGCAAATTGGCAAAACTGTACCACTGTGTGGGCTATATAATCTCACAGTAGCTATCTTTCCTATTCCAAAATAACTTAATAAGCGATACGTGCATAGGCATATGAAATTAAAATCTTCATATATCATAGCAAAATCATAATACAATAAAAATAAGTGAGGAGATCCATTAAACAAAGGAATTACGCATAATTTATTTAAGCGTTATAAATTTTGAAACGGATTGAATTAGCAAATTTAATTTTCTGTTTACGGAAAGTCTATCAAAGTTTTTGGATTAACAGCGTGCTGGAAAATTCGATTTCATTTATAGTCATGCAATTTTCAATCATTAGAATTTTATATTAATTTTAAGAGCTGTGTTTTTGGTATTTTTAATCTTTCTCGTCTTTCTTGCAAGTATGCCACATTTAACTGCTGAATGCGAGTACAATGGGGGATGCAGGAGAATTAGCCTTACAAGTGGATTGACGTTCTCAGTATCAGATGTCTCGCACCTTTGACGCTACTCGTTGTCGGGTTATCGTGTGTCAAATCTGGTATCAACAAGACTTTTAGTTCCTGTTTATAGTCGCGTTGTACGCTCTTTTGAATATATTCATTCATTATAATAATAATAAAGTAATTACGTAAAATAAAAAGGCGTAGGGAATTGACGACCCCATCGCCCGCTGACGTAACAGTTAAGTGACAAAACTGCTACGTCAACGCAGTCAGTCAGCGCCTTGCGAGAGGTGTGAGCGCCGTGCCTCGGCAGAATTTAGGATGCCGAGGTCCGTTTGTGCTTATGGCCACACGAAACGGTGCCGGGCCTGGGCGTCTCCCGTTAATGGACGCCCAAATAATGGATGATGGATAAGAAGATAGTGCGCATAGGGCCGCTGCCTGGGGGTCGCCGGGGCGCGTCTGGAGCTGGCGCTGGACGCGGCAGCATGCGGGCCGCCAGCCGAGCGCGAGGAGCTGCACGGTCACCTAGCAGCCCTCCGCATCCATCATCCCCACCAGAAGGCTTGGTGTCGGCTGGGTCCTCCCGGACTCAGCAAGCGGCACCCGCCGCTGGTGGAGCACGTCGCATGCGTTGGTCACAAGCAATGAATGCAAACGCACTGCGGGCGTACTTTAGGGCAAAAGGGGAAGAAACTGGATGTTTGGCGTATCGGGCTAGGATGCATCGTCTTTTTGCTGAGCTGGAGCCATCTTTAACCGTCACAGAGCAAAACCTGGAAGACCGAGTTCGGTATATCTTGCGCACAAATATATTTGATGTCGCCGAACTCGAACGGCTACGACGTGAGGCTGTTCCCTCGTCGGATGAGAATGCTACGGCTGAGGATGCAGCACCACAAATGGTAGAGCAACCCGCAAACGTGGATGCCGCCGTGAATACCCCAGTTGTGGTTGATTCAAACGATGATGGAACAGTCGCCCAGGAACTGGAATTAGAGCATATGAGGAGTACATTGGAAGAGGCGATTGTGGAAACGCGCAGTACGCCTCTCGAAAATCGACCGCGACTTCCCCCGCATAGCCCTAAGCAAGCGGAATCGGGCTGTCGTGTGGGCTCTGAACCCAATGCTGGTGACCTATTTGGAAGCCAGCCGGGACCTTTGCGAGACGGACTCAATTCTTTTTGGCGCCGCGCTGGCAGTCTGCCGTATCATAGGCGCCAAGGTTTCCACGGCTGGACGCGCTACTGGCCATAGTAGCGCTATCCCAGCATGGAGAAGAAGAATTGAGGAACGTATCGCAAAGGCTAGAGCTCTCATCGGCAGACTGATATGCTTCAGATCAGGCAACAACAGGCCAAGAATTGTGCGCACCGTCAGGATGGCGTTTGCTGGGACAAATGTCAGTTTGTCCCAGCCGGATATAACGCAAAAACTGACGGAGCGCATAGATGATCTGAAGCAGAGAATCGCTGCTTGGGGAAAGCAGATTCAGCGATATACCGAGAGGTCGACACGGTTCAACCAGAATCGTCTCTTCCAGAGTGATCAGAAGAGGCTCTATGAATCATTGGAGCGACCAATGGTAAGTGGAACGGGTCCAGCACCGAATCAGGCCGACACTGTAGCATTCTGGCGCGGCCTGTGGTCAGAGCCCGTAAACCACAGCGAGGGCCCTTGGACGGAAGTTGTGGCGAGTCAGTGTGCGGGTATTACGCCCATGGACCCCGTCATCATAACGCCGGATGACGTAGCTGAGGCGGTCCGTAGGGCCCCGAACTGGAAAAGTCCGGGGCTTGACGGGCTGCATCACTACTGGCTGAAGGGGTTCATGGTGTGTCACTCTATGCTCGCCCGACAGTTTCAAGAGGCTCTCAACCAGAAGTCGCTCCCAAGCCTCTTCACTACTGGGATCACTCATTTGGTTCCTAAAGACCAGGGTACCACAGACCCGAGCAAATACCACCCCATCACGTGTCTACCGACCATATAGAAGACACTAACATCCATTTTGAGCGCGAGAATCACTTGTCACTTGGATTCAAATCAGATGATGTCGCGCGCTCAAAATGGATGTCGGGGCGGTGGTCGTGGAACCAAGGAACCACTCCTCATTGACGCGGTCATTGGCAAAGTGGTGAAACGCAACCGTCGGAACTTCTCCGCCGCCTGGATAGACTACAGAAAGACATTCGACTCGGTGCCCCATACATGGCTAAAGAGAGTCCTCGAGCTGTACAAGATAGACTGTACAGTTAGAGACTTCCTCGAGCAGTGTATGGGGCAGTGGAGTACGATCCTTTGTCATCTGGGCGAGCGGATGATGGCTGCGGAGAACCACATAAGGATAAGAAGGGGTATCTTCCAGGGCGATTGTCTGAGTCCAATCTGGTTCTGCCTCTCTCTGAACCCTCTCAGTACCTTACTGGAGGGCTCCGGGAGGGGATTTCAGCTACGGAAAGGAGGGACAAAAGTGACCCACCTTTTCTATATGGATGACCTCAAGTTATTCGCCTCCAGTCGCTCCCATCTTATGGAATTGCTAAACATCACTTGTGAATTTAGCAATTCCATTGGAATGGAGCTTGGGACGGATAAGTGTGCGGTCCTCCATGTTGAAAGGGGAAGGGTTGCTAACTCTGAGGGCGTAGACTTATCTATGCCCGTCAACTTAAGGACCCTTTCCGAGGCTGAAACATACCGATACCTGGGTATGTCACAAAACATCGGTATCGATGAGACTGGTATGAAACAGTCAGTTTGCGACGTGTTTTATGCACGCTTGAACAAAGTGCTTAACAACCTTTTGTCCGGTGTGAATAAGGCACACGCATATAACGGCTGGGTCATGCCTGTCCTCATGTATACCTTTGGCATACTCAGGTGGACTCAGACTGAACTTAACGCCCTGGATAGAAAAGTCCGCACTACCATGCCGTCCCATAGGATGCATCATCCGAGATCGTCGGTAATGAGGCTGTACTTGCCGCGGAAGCATGGTGGTCGTGGCTTCTTGAGCGCGCTCACCATGCATAATCGCGAAGTGTGCAGCCTCCGTGATTACTTCCTGGCGAGATCGGATGATCCATTCTATAAGGACGTCATTTCTTGTGATAAAGGACTTACCCCTCTATCTTTAGCCAACGAGCAATGGCAAGACCCGGCAGTGCAGAGCATTTCCGACCGGGAGACCGTATGGAAGGAGAAGGAGCTCCACGGGAGGTTCTACAAGGCTCTATATGAGCCTTTCGTAGACACAGTAGCCTCCCTCCACTGGCTACACTTTGGTGATCTCTTCGGGGAAACCGAGGGTTTTGTCTGTGCAATACAGGATCAGGTTATTAAGACCAACAACTATCGGAGATACATCCTAAAGGATGGCACCGTCGACATCTGTCGAGCTTGTCGCCATCCCGGTGAGTCACTTAGACATGTCATCTCCGGTTTTTCGGCGCTTTCTAACTCTGAGTACTTGCACAGGCACAGCCTAGTAGCCAGAATTCTACACCAGGAGCTCGCTCTGAAATACGGTCTCGTGGATCGGAAATTGCCGTATTACAAGTACTTGCCGGAAGCCGTGCTCGAAAATGATCGCGCCAGGCTCTATTGCGACCGGGCCATCATCACAGACAGGACTATTCTTGCGAATAAGCCTGATATTGTGCTGATGGACCGGGCACAGTCAAGGATATTTTTGGTCGACATTACCATTCCGTATGACGAGAACCTCGTGAAAGCCGAAACAGACAAGCAAACAAAATATCTGGACCTGGCTCACGAGGTGACCGACATGTGGGGTGGTCTGCCGACCGAAATTATTCCTGTAGTCGTCTCTGCAAACGGGCTAATCCCAGTCAGCCTCTCGGGTCATCTGAGGCGGCTGGGACTACGTGGCGGACCGCTCCAGGTTCAAATGCAGAAGGCGGTGCTCCTCGATACCGCCCGCATCGTCCGCCGGTTTCTTTCCCTTTCCCCCTAACCCTCGGCCGTTTGGTCTCCCCTGCCGAGGGCCTCCATCTGGTTGGGCTTTTATTTATTTATGTACTTTTATATTTATTTTATGTTATTGATATTTATGTATATTTATCTTTTCATTTTCATTTATAATTATATATTTATAGAACCCAACCAGATGAGAAAACTATATAGATACCCCAAATAAAGCCTCTTTATTTTTAATAGAAAATAATTACAATAAAAAGAATTAAATGTACGCTTAGAAAATAAAATGAAATATATATTTCAATTAAGGACCCCTCTTTGGGTAAAGGCCTCCTCCATCTTTTCCCACTCTTTTCGGTTCTGTGCTATTGTTAGCCAATTTTTTTCTGCCGTCTTTTCAATCTCATCGACCCATCTTTCTTTCGGTCTTCCTTGCTTGCGTTTGCCTTTTGGTCCTGTCCACATGGTTGCTCGTTTAGTCCATTTGGTATCTGTAGATCGTGCTACATGACCTGCCCACTTCCACTTCAGTTTTTGACAGTAATGTAATGCGTCTCTCACTCTCGTTTTCTTGCAAATGTCATTGTATTTGTATTTATCTTTTAGTTTTAGGTTTAGGATACTTCTTTCCATTGCACGTTGACATGTTAGTATTTTATTCTTTGTTTGTCTATTGAAGATCCATGTTTGGCAGCCATATGTGAGACAGGGTGCACACATTCATTCATTACGACCTATCAAAAGTTCGCTGATATACACGGTTATCCCCATAGGACTGACTGCGTGAAAGCGGGGATTTTTTAGGTTATTATCGCCTCTCATCAATTTCTCCTAATTTGTGATTTAAACACAGGACATCCGATCTGGAGCCACCTACTCCAATGAATGAAATAAAAAATTATACAATCCTTTTTTCGTAAGCTCATCTAACTGAACATACCATAACTTGAGTTAAAACATTTTTAAATAAACTGGAAGATTGTATGTACCTAAAATTAAAAACTTATCAAAAGTTTTGAGATAGAACAACGTTATTAACGCATCCGTTCTTGACCGGAAGTAATATTATTTATGACACGATTACTATATATAGCTTCACCTGTGTAACGATTTTTCCTTTTTATCCGCCCTTTTTGAACGGACAATTATTATAACAGACGACGAAATAGAGAAAAAACTTTTCTATTATTTTGCAGCGCTATTAATTTAGTCTTCTGAACATCCAAGAAGAAAAACAAAGGCTAACCAAATCTCTGCGATACTTTTTTACCTTTATATAAATTGCATAAAAAAGTAATTCAAGTAAGAGTAAAAATATTAGTCAAGAGTAAAATTATCAACATAAACATCTTTATATTAAAATTTACATCTTCTCTCCACATTGTCAATATCAATGGATTTTATTGTATCTATATTATATTACCTCATAACTCCAAGAATTTAAGGACATCATAACGATAGTTATTAGACTATTATTTTTATACGCAACTCAATTTTGCAAGGAGGTGGAATATATATCCTGTTATACATAGAAAAAAGAAATTATTTTTATTATATTAAAGACAATGACTATCATTGTATTATCGTGCGTTTGTTAACTCGCTTCCTTGTCTGTTCGATAAAAATTTTGCAATTGATTTTAAAATAACTTTCCGATGAGCTGGAGATTTAAATTTCAAATATAGCTCAGAGCGCGTGTAGGAATTGACGATTTGAATCCTATGAGTGTGGAGCAGATGGGGCTGGTTCACCGGGCACTAATACAGGCCATCGTTAAGACGGCCTGTGGGGCGCAGCCGGGAATGGGACCAAAATTTTCGGGTTTCACCCACAAGAAAGGTTGGATTATGGTAACGTGCCTGAATAAGGCAAGCCAGGACTGGATTGTGGGTGATATCGGAAAACTGAAGCCCTGGGCAGAGGCAGAGCAGAGGGCAAACTGTCTAAGCCTCAGCTGGGCATTACCTACTTGGCTCGCAGCGAAGCTGACTCTCCGGAGGAGGCGGCTGTGCTGTTGAGGGCACAAAATGAAGGGCTCCATACTGAGCTCTGGTGAATCGTCCGCCGTAGGGACGAGGGGAATGGGTTCTTTGTGACCTTTTCTTTGGAGGACCTCTCGGCGGAGGCTCTTCGGAAGGCTTCTTTGGCTTTAAAATGATAACTTTTAAAGTCAAGGGAGGCTCTGACGCGGCAATGGAGCCTGAACCACACCAACTCCAATCCCCCCCAGTTCTCCACCTCTCGTAGTGAGACTGGAACGTCATCAGTGAGAGTGACGAAGACCCAAGGCGCTGATCTCGCCTCGATACAATCTCGATACAAGAAATGCACAGGAGCCAGAGAAATCATTTGCTCAGCCTATCTTCCCGGAGAGAACGCAGATCCTACCATCGAGTTAGAGCGAGTGGCGCAGTTCGCCCGAAAACACAAAGCCAAACATGTGGTGGGTTGTGATGCTAATGCTCACCACACAGCCTGGGGAAGCACCAACATCAACGAAAGAGGTGAGTTACTTTATGATTTTCTCATCTCCAACCGCCTGGTGAGCCTAAACTTAGGTTGTACACCAACCATTGTAACGCGTGCTAGGCAAGAAGTGTTAGACATACGAGTAACCTTTGCTACCAATAACATGTCGAGGCGGATAAATGACTGGCATGATAGTAGTGAAAATTCGATGTCTGATCACAAACACATTAAGTTTGTGATTGGAGCATTACCAACCTATGAAACCTTTGCTTTTAGGGATCCAAAAGCGACCTCCTGGGATATCTACAGAGATAGACTAAGGAGGAATTCGGTAACGTTTCCTAAAAGTATAAAAACGATTGAAGGTCTGGAGTTAGTGACGGAGACAGTAACCGCAGGCATCCGTGAAGCCTTCGAGGTCAGTTGTCCCGTCAAAACCAAGACTTCACGACGAAAAGTTCCTTGGTGGAACACTAAGCTAAAAAAAACTTAGGGAAAAGACCAGGAAACTATTTAATAGGGTTAAGAAAACCAAAGAGTGGGATATTTATACTGCAGCCCTAACTAAATATAATATAGAAATTAGGAAAGCCAAGGGAGCATCATGGAGGAAGCTATGCGAGGAAGTTGAGTCTTTGCCTCGCAATACAAGACTACAAAAAATGCTATTGAAAGCTAAACCTAATCAGATCAGGCGTTTTAAAAAAACGTGATAGTAAGTTCACTAATAGTGAAACAGAAACGTTGGAGTTACCAGCGTTAACCCATTTTCCAGGGTCACATAAGACTACTGCTTTAAATTCTTTCAGAGCCCTACGAAGGCCTTATAATGAGGACTGGTATAGGGCTGCAAAGATAATAACGCCAAACCTGGTGGTGGTGCGCTGTTGACTCCTTTAAATCATTTAAATAAGCGGGAAGGATGGATCAATTCCCATCCAACCACAGAAGGGTAAGGATAATCTTCTTCCCTATCTGGTGAAAATCTTCAGAGCAAGTTTTGCATGGGGATATATTCTAGAACGATGGACAATTGCTAAAGTTCTATTTATAGGCTGGTAGAAAGGACTACGCTTTATCAAATTCCTTTAAACTTAAGACAAAACTTTATTTTCCCTTAAGACATTGGAAAAGGTCATAGATATATAAGGGATGTAGCTCTAGCTAGCTAGTAAGAGGCCCATACATTATAACCAGCATGCTTACCGCAGAGGCAAATCTACGGAAACAGCCCCAGGGGATAAAGAAAATAGCACTTTGTGCCTTCCTGGATATTGAGGGTGCCTTTGACAGTAGCCCCACATCACTGCTGATTGTAGACCTGACATCTGAAAACGTTGGCCCCACTACCATCAGTCGGGTGAAGTTGATGCTCTCGAACAGAAAGGCAAAAAATAGCGCTGTTTCAAACTTCGATTGAGGTTGAAACCACAAGAGGCTGCCCACAAGGAGGTGTTTTGTCGCCCCTTCTTTGGATTCTTGCGGTTGACCAACTATTGTACAAGATGGCAGACTTACACATTGAAACACTGGGTTATGCTGATGACCTTGTGATTATCGCGAGGGACTTTTGCCAAAGTACTTTATCGTCAATCATACAAAGAGCCCTAAACACCATAATTAACTGGTGTAGGGATAACAGTTTATCAGTTAATGCTGATAAAACCGCTATAATACCCATTACCAAAAAGAGACGGTTGGACCGGTCACACCAAAACTCAATGGTAAAGAAGTACCATTTTCCACTGAAGTCAGGTACTTGGATTTAATAATCGACCAAAAACTAACGTGGAACTCTCACCTTAGCAACGTATGCCATAAGGCAAAACTTGCTTTAGGTACGTGCAGTCGTTTGGTCGGGAACAACTGGGGCTTGCGTTCCAGTATGGTCCTATGGCTACAGCAGCATAGTGAGGTCGATTCTCACCTACGCCTCTATTGTCTGGTGTAACAAGGCCAACCAAAAGACGACTGCGGACAGACTAAATAGTCTAGGACTGCCTGTTTAATGGCAACTAGAGCTATGCGATCATCGCCTGGAGTGGCTCTTAATGCACTTCTATGCCTAACGCCCCTTGGTCATAATCTAGACAAGGAGGCGAAAGCTAGTTTGTATAGGATTAATTCCCAGGGGGGTCTGAGTTTGTTTTCCTACAGATTGAGGTCCATGCTCGACTCTATTAAGGAAACACCGGCCAATGCAAAAGCATGATCTCAGATATCATATATATAAACTCTGATAGTTAAGCAGCACTGCTAGCACTGAGGTCAAACTTAGTGAACTCGAAGCTAGTTGGAGACTGCGTGAACTGTTTGAAGGCCCTGGGATTTAACAACAGGGTCGTTTTAAGCTGGGTTCCATGTCACGCGAATATTGTAGTAGGAAGACTCAAAGAGTACACGATTTGGACCTGAGCCATTTTGTGGAATCTCAAGAAGCCTATCCCGATTGACCGTGAAACTCTTTATCACAATAAATCACTTAAGATCTGGTCTGATACACCAGGCTTAAAACATTCTTAAACCTTAACGGGCTTTTAATGGTAAATTCACTTCAGAAGCCAGATTAAGTAAAAATAAATTGCGCGTTCTGGCAAGAGCCCTAACTGGACATTGTTGTCTTAAAAAGCACATGTCCATCCTGGGACTAAGCAACTCAAAGATGTGTCGGTTCTGTTCCATAACGGAAGAAACACCTCTGCACATCCTAACTGATTGCGGATCCTTAATGCGCAAACGTAATAATTATCTGGGAAACTATGTACTCCGCCCAGAAGAAGTGAAATTGCTCACGGCTAAGCAACTCCTTCTATTTAATGAAGAGATAGATAGGGCTTAGCAATGAACTATAGCCATAGCAGCGATCATAATAGATCTTTTAGGTCGCAGTGATACTTGTCTCCTTACTTAAACCTACATAGCTGTGACTAGCTAGAAACCTGAACTCCAGACACAGAAGAACACAGATGCAGTCACTCCTGAGATAGACCCCTGGAAAAGAATGCCTTGAATTCTGTATTTATACTGTCTCTCTTATTTTTTTAACCGTAACACAATAGTGGGTATACACTGCTCTTTGAAACAATAGTTAAGAAAATGCTAGCTCCTCGGCCTGGTAGACAAAACTACCGTATAGTAAACTCTCGAAAAAAGCACGTAGCAACGTGACAACGCAGCAGGGCGCGGAGAGTGGATGTCTTTTAGAAATTCACACTATTTTGAGCAGAATAATGATAGTCATTCAGTTTGTGTTTTAACCATGTAGCGGCGGTAAAAGAGAATCCAGTTCCTCATATCATCCCGTGGGTGTCATAAGAAGTAACGGAAGCAGACCAATCTAACAGCAGCATATTTCTGAAAATAACTCAAAACAATAAAAATATTGGTAAACTAAGGCAATTATCTTCCATATGAGCCATTAGTTATTTATTTATGATAATTGATAATTATCATCATCATCATTATCGTCTAACGAAGTCTATGTCCTATAGATTTCCTCTAGATCATAAGCAGAACTGCCTCAAAGTCGCTGCTATTAAAACGGTGATGCTCAGAGATGCTCTTTGTGATAGATTCTTAATTAACATATGTCAATCGTAAATTATTCGTTCATTTGAACCGGGTCACATCAAAGTATTGATGTTTGCAATTACATTTTATTTATTATAAAATTACACGTGAACGTTCCGGATCAAACGCTTGACAGGAGCTATGATCAGAGTATCAGACATTATCGAGCTTGTTTCGCAGATCACAGAGTACTGTAACTCAAAATAATCCATGTTAATGATCGACATGTATGAACCGGTTCGTAAAACGAATCAACACTTAAATGATTGGGTCAGTAGAAATGAATGAATAACATATGTCTAATTCCTAATGAACATATCCGCAGTAAAACCAGCGTAATCGATAAAGTGTAAATGTAGTGTAGTTTAAAAAACCAATAACCGATAGAAAAGAAAGGTTCTTGACTGGCAGCCTCGTACCGTTCAGTGAAGTATAGAGCAGCCTTCTGCTAGGTGAAGTGGTAACCTAGAAAGACAAGAAGTCGATGGACACAAATGACTCAGGACTGTGCTTCGTGACATTCTTTGACATTCATTATGTTCAACAGTGGACTTGTGAAGAGCTATAATGATGATTGATGATGATCATAAATAGAATTTATTGGGACCCACTAGCGCACAAGCTAGCACACAATCTGCCTGATGGTAAGTGAGTGCTGTGACTAATAGTCATCTACATCTATTCTCGGTTCAAAATCAAAATGCAGACATGTTATAACCCCTGAGGACTAAGATCGAATGATCGAACGTCGTTACCATTGAAAGGGGTCATTGGTTCTCTATACTCACCATGCACAATACAGCGTTGTTCTGATTATTCACAAAATGCAGGCATGTTATAACCCCTGAGGACTAAGATCGAATGATCGAACGTCGTTACCATTGAAAGGGGTCATTGGTTCTCTATACTCACCATGCACAATACAGCGTTGTTCTGATTATTCACAAAATGCAGACATGTTATAACCCCTGAGGACTAAGATCGAATGATCGAACGTCGTTACCATTGAAAGGGGTCATTGGTTCTCTATACTCACCATGCACAATACAGCGTTGTTCTGATTATTCACAAAATGCAGACATGTTATAACCCCTGAGGACTAAGATCGAATGATCGAACGTCGTTACCATTGAAAGGGGTCATTGGTTCTCTATACTCACCATGCACAATACAGCGTTGTTCTGATTATTCACAAAATGCAGACATGTTATAACCCCTGAGGACTAAGATCGAATGATCGAACGTCGTTACCATTGAAAGGGGTCATTGGTTCTCTATACTCACCATGCACAATACAGCGTTGTTCTGATTATTCACAAAATGCAGACATGTTATAACCCCTGAGGACTAAGATCGAATGATCGAACGTCGTTACCATTGAAAGGGGTCATTGGTTCTCTATACTCACCATGCACAATACAGCGTTATTCTGATTATTCACAAAATGCAGACATGTTATAACCCCTGAGGACTAAGATCGAATGATCGAACGTCGTTACCATTGAAAGGGGTCATTGGTTCTCTATACTCACCATGCACAATACAGCGTTGTTCTGATTATTCACAAAATGCAGACATGTTATAACCCCTGAGGACTAAGATCGAATGATCGAACGTCGTTACCATTGAAAGGGGTCATTGGTTCTCTATACTCACCATGCACAATACAGCGTTGTTCTGATTATTCACAAAATGCAGACATGTTATAACCCCTGAAGACTAAGATCGAATGATCGAACGTCGTTACCATTGAAAATGGTCATTGGTTCTCTACACTCACCATGCACAATACAGCGTTGTTCTGATTAGTCACAAAATGCAGACATGTTATAACCCCTGAGGACTAAGATCGAATGATCGAACGTCGTTACCATTGAAAAGGGTCATTGGTTCTCTATACTCACCATGCACAATACAGCGTTGTTCTGATTATTCACAAAATGCAGACATGTTATAACCCCTGAGGACTAAGATCGAATGATCGAACGTCGTTACCATTGAAAAGGGTCATTGATTATTCACGCTGGTATTCTATGAGACCGTATTCCTAACCCTGGTCAAGCTAACCCATTCGTGCCGTAGCCATATAAAGCTGCAGTGTGGTTTCAACGCGTAAAAAATATTACTTTTTACAAAAACCCGAAAAAAATATGATGGCATTTCTAGTTTTATGCGGTAGGAAACGCGAGCGTAAGCATAAGTGCTTAATAAAAAAACTATAAAAGTATGGTAATTTTTTTGTATTTTATAGTGATGATCTAAATACTACAATACATAGTACTAGTACATAGTAATAAGTACTTTCGGTTGCAGTGATACCAGTTTAATTTTACAAAAATTGCATACATTTGCTACGAAGTGGCAAGTTTCGATTCGACTAATTTGGCGACTAATTTTTTCTAGAACGTCCTTTTAATGTGTAAGTTGGTAGTTAATTATTTCATCGTTACAAACTTTCTCTGTAACAAAAAGTACATTTTAAAAATAAAACTTTAAAGCTCTTTGAGATACCTTCACAGTAAACGTATAAAGAAAAATAGAAATGGCAAACGGATTTCCGGTTAACAAAAGGAAATACATTGTAAAGATTTACACTTCAATACTTTTCGAATGATGACTTTAAATAAATAACGAATAGTTTTATGTCATTTATTAATTCCAAGCTTTCATCATTATACTTTTGAAAATGTACTCTCTATTCCCACACTCTTCTAGTCTCGGCTCTAGGATCGGCAATCCAGCACGACTGGAGCTCCGGCCTAGGACCAACGGATTTTTGTCCTTTCCGAGGTAGGAGATTGATACACCGGCCACTTCCTTACTCCGGGCTTCCATTCTTGGTAAAAAAACCTAATGATTGAATTTTGCCCGACCTGAGACTCGAATTCATAAACAAACAAAGCAGTCGATTTTTAAGCATACATAAAATAACAGATCATAAATCAATGATGTGCTGCAGGCCCATTTAGGTCGCACAAAAAAGTATATAAAAAATATATAAAAAAATATCTTGACCAATAATACCTAGGTTTAAGGGCTGAGTGAAGAGCGTTCCTCGGCGTGTGATACGTAGCGGTATACTTCAATACGACAGTGTGTTTACTGTGCACGCCACACGCTCCGCCCCGCTAACACATGTCACTAGGTTACTGCACTTAGGCTCAGAAACTATCAGTGGATCTAAAATGTACATTATGTGGTATTCAAGCACTGTGTACTTACCTTAAATGTTATAATACGCGAATTATCCGATTTTGATCACCGCATCATCAAAACTGTAACTTGCAATTTGGGGTGTAAGAGGTGCTTAAGCACGTCTTCGGTAGCAAAGGATAATATTGAGAGAAAACTTGTATTTGTGAGAAATATTTAATATTTTTAAGACTTATTCCTGCCAATCCGTACTGGAATAGCGCGGTGGAGCAATCCTACTTCATAACTTTACAGAAATGGACAAAATTTTGCTCTCAGCTTTGAGACATGTATAAAACTGTTTTATGTAATTAATAAATTATTTAAAAATTGAATATAATGTAATGGATACGATAACTTGACCAAAAAATCAGTTATTGAGTTTTTCTGTAAAGAAACTCTCAGCAGCAGTTCAGATTCAGGAAGTTGGTGGTGTTGCTACTGTGCCTGATCTCTGTACAATCCCGTCGAACTGTCCCATCGGACAGTGATAGTAAGGAACGGGAGAACCCACCAATGCTTTCGCATACACTCGGGCACCATAATTCTGTACCGCACAGATGGGTGGTCTCCTTAGAAAAGAGCCGCCGTGTCGTGACCGAAGTTAGTCTAGACGCTATTAATAATATATTGGAAGGTAGAAACAGGAGAGCAAATAAAAGCCATAAAGTTTTTGATACCCGATATTTTTATTATTCGTCCATAAATTTGACATTCATTTATAATAATAACAACTAATTAAATAGTTATCGAGTATCCAAACATACATTCAGTATTTGAATATCCACTGATTAGCCTAAATATCAGTATAGTAATCAATTTCTTATTATATGTATGTATGTAGAGCGGTAATCATTAGACAGAGATCCAGAACCAAAATTAACTATATTGTTTTTTAAATTGACATCTTTAAAATTATCAACTCTATTAAACATCCCAGCCTAAAATATAAACTTTACTATTCAAACACTTATATCGAATTTGCCTTTCCCCTTTAAAGATAAGATTTATTTAAACTTAAAGTTTTGAAAATAAATTTAGAAACAATTTTCAAGATTGTTTGAAAACTACGAACAGATTAACTACTATCAAATACATTTTAGTCTTGTATCTCTTAAAGTATTTTGCATCTTATACTCTTCACGGTTCAAATCCGCTTACGTTCTGTAGATTGTAAATACGGAGACTCAAAAAATGTAAAAGACAGACGTATAAAGATGTACCTAATAGTCTATATTAATTCTATGGACAATTCTAATGCCGATCGATCCTGTGTAACGTCGTTTAAATATTATTTACAACATAACCGAGCAACTTTTACAATGTTGTCCATTTGCTAGAGATAAATGAAAAGGAACATTTTTTTTTAAATTTTATATATCATTCGTAGGAGGAATAGAAGTATTTTATACAATCATATCACAGTACCGTAAAGTTATAAACATATATTTCTATAACTCAATTATAAATAGAGCGCCCATACACAAATAGAATAACAGACCATAAACACAATTTAAGAATTTCTTAGCCTTATTTCGAAATTTAAACGACGTTTCTGAGCAATTCTTCTGAAGACAACACGCCGTCCTGAAATTAAATTAATATTAATAACTTTGCAACAACTATAACATTGTTAATATTAACTCGGTATTATGACATTTTCTGTCTAGGAGTCTGTCTGTTTTTATTCCTTCAATCATAATTGTTCAAACACTAGAATGTAATGCATTCCTCAAGGGTGACATAGCAACTACAGCTTTCTTTGAAATAGGTCGCAGACATCGTTTGCAGTAAAGCCAAAAGCTTGTTAACTACTATAATTAAAAAGAAAAGAAATAAATTATCTGCTATACCAGTGATAAAAGCTATTATGAGTGTTAACAATTATATTATTTTGAGTAGAGCTTTTATATAATTTTCAAATGGACTCGACTAGTATGCGAATGTCAAAAAAGTTTTACGGTTTCACTCTCAAGTTTAGTAACTCGAATAAAGTTACTATATGCCCCCAGCTCAACGCTTACAACTTGTAAAAGTCTTCTACTGCATTTGCCTTAATCGTCCGGCGTGGCAGGTGGATTAAAAGTCGAATCGAATCGAATCGAGATATCGAGATCTTATTGGCATATTAATACAAACTATATTGTCGCTTCTTACGATATTTACGGCACAGCCTCCTGCCCATTTCAAAAAGTTCACAGTATTTTTATACATTCTCTTATTACTTTATTATATCTTAACGAAAACATACGTGCACGATTTTTTTTCTGTACGTCTATGGCACAGTATCTTTCGGATAATATAAGTTAAGGAGGGAAACTTTTATAAAAAAATACTACAAAAAACGGACATCAATTTTCCTTATTAATATAACAGTTACTTAATAAAATCTTTTTTCTTACCCTTAACATAACCCATCTTTTTTTTTGTAACAAACGAGCACACAGTCCACCTGTAGATGTGGACCACAGACACCTACATTTATCCTCGATTATGAAGAACTAAAATAGCATGCCTCATTAACAGTAAAAAGAGTCTCCGAATCTCCACGAAACACCGCGGAGAACAGCATTTAATTTGATGGATATTAATACATTTACACGGATGATTTCGTATGATAATTATACAAGCAGGATCAAATTTGTCCCAACATAGATTATTAGCAACCACAAAACGTTTTAATTATATTACATTCATCAAATGAAACCGGGCGGGCTGCCAACTATGGCAAATCCCGCCTATGAGGCTATCTATAAGGGAGGATCTTGTTCAGTAGTGGACTTTTAATAAGCTATAACGGTAACGGTAATCTCGAAAAGTTGGAAATATTTCTAATTATTCATGAGATTATATTACCTGATTGAGATCAATGAATTTCCGGACGACAGATCGTGCAAAGTCAGGGTTGTTCAACATCTCGTTCACAAACCAGTCCAGTGGGATGCTATAACAAATACAAATATATTTATAATTCTAATATTTATTGAAATGTTAATAATACTCTTATAATGAGAAGATACTAAGATTCAAGAAACTCAATATTATTTGTTTCATTTCATCCCTACAAATTTAAATTATTTAGGAAATATATTTTAAGAATTTTCCTGGATTAAAAAAAGAAAATATTTATGTATTTTTTGTTTTATAAAACCATCTGAAAGATTCAAAAGTTTGCTGATTTACTTATAAGTTTGTTTACAGGCTTCGATGCGCCATCTTTTAGTTAACGTTCCTTTTCCTTTTTAAAGTTGACACCTGTAATGAAATAATTTTGTTTTTGCCAGACCTTAAAGGCTTTTCGGCTAAGATGATAAAAGGTGCGTTTTATAACAAAAATTTTCAAATTTTTCTTTAAAGAAAATTTCTACAAATGAATTATGAATAATATCAAATAATATCAAATAATCAGTACAGGGTTAGAACAGTATTTTTTATCAATTATTATCATTAAGATACTACATCTTAATTTCATTAAACGTTTTAATAAATTAATAAATTACAAATAAAAAGTAATGAAAAAAGTGCATCATTCATTAAGTTTATATTATTTCATAATCATGAACGTAGTTATATTACCTTTCAATGGTTTTTTCTTCATTAATATCTTGATTATCCTTTTCTTGAGTGTTCTCAAGTGTATCCCAGAAGTTGTCAAAGCCGAAAACTGTAATTTCAGTCAGTATTAGAAAGAATATAGCTATTTATATTAATCTCGCCCCGACATGTAATATGGCCGCTACACAAATACCATTTCGCAATAATAGCACACGCACAAGACGTAATAAGCAGTGACAATTTTTGTCACAAAAGTAAATCTAGAGGATTCACAACACATCTAAAGCAGTTTTACCTTCTAAGCACAATCTAGTCATTGATTGTTCTTTTCGGGGCTCGCAACACAAAAAGGCACTATACCTTATCACAACTGTCTCATTCCTCCATTACAGTACAAAATATGAAGTGAAAGAGATGTGTAATAATTCATAACTCAAGCTTACATTATCTTCATAAACGAAGCAATACACATACAGACATATTTGTATATTGTATATGTGAATCATTTCGTGTTTTGTTTTAGTTGAATTCAGTTAAGTGAACCTTTCGTGTCCGCTTATGTCACACAAGAGCAGTTCCTAGGACCCTTTCGGTTAATATGTAATATATTTAATAAATACCAGTAAAATAAAATTCATCGAGGCTAACTCGATACGAAGGCAAACATTGATAAAGAATCACCAATATAACGTATGTGTTTTTCTTTTATATTGGCGTTAGGTCGTCTCACATAATCGGTTTACCTCGACCACTATCTTGAGTCTGATCTCTTTTGCCATAACCTCTGGCGATAAGTATGTTCGAATTAGGCTTGAAAGTGCCCCTGGTGACCCTTATTTCCTCTTCTGTTTGAACGTATGTTTATGTATACTATCAATTTGCATTAAGCATTCTAGGAACTAAAAAGTTTAAGTTAAATACGTCCCACTGCTAGGCACAGGCCTCCACTCATTTCCAAGAGGGTTTTAGTTTAAGGAAATTTCCGTGGCGCTGCTCCAATGCGTGTTGACGAACTTGGCATATCTTCCAAATATTTTTTACTTATTTCTCAGACATGCATGTTTCCTCACGACGTTTTCCTTCCCCGCCGAGCACGTAGTAAATCAGCATTCAAAATTGCAAATAACAATTTCATTGTTGCTGGCGAGGATCGAACCATGTTTACTCGCGTACTGTTAACAACGGGCGCTAACCGTCTGAGCTACCACAGCTCCTGCTATGAATTAATATAAATAATCATTTCAGATCAAGCTACATCTTAAATAGTTCACAAATATCTACTGCGTGTCGAGTTTTACTATAGTGGAAGGTCTATAGTAAGTTTTTAAGATGGTTATTACGAATATATTTCGGATATGATTTCTACGAAACGAACGGGATGAAATAAAGTGGTGCATACCTACTCTTACTGTTCCTGTACCAGAGATGGACAAATATTACCAAAAATCATTGTTAATTATATTTTTTCTTTTTCATCTCGTGACTGTACCCTGCCCTCGTCGCCCGGATTATAATTTAAAATAATTTTAATTGAAAAATATATTTGCAACATCGTGCATAAGAAGATTCTAAAGAACACTGTGGTACTCAACCTACTAAACAAGCAGGAAATCTATGGCTATGGCTATATATATATATATACATAATACTCAGTAGCTGTAATGTAGTAAGATAATAAAAATATTTAATATTTAATTAATGATATAGTTTATCTAGGTTTCTAAATAGAGCTTACCCTAATAAAGGCGTTAAATATTTTAAATTATATGCCTTATTCTATAAATATAACCGGTTATACTATAGTTTGTTTACGGATACGAGCTAACTAAAAACAACGAAACAACTAAGAAAAATGAGCATCCGCACGTCATTAGTGGCGGCAGATAGTAAACTTGTTGCGACTTGCGATCAAAATGTCAGATTCATCTTTCTCTAGGTCGGATCTCGAGTCGTGTGGTGCTCCTTAGTATTATTCTCAGTTTTTGACTTTAGGTTAACCTGTCTTGCTCATTGGACGTATTCTGTTTAAAAATGTTATAAATATGGCAAAAGGATTTATTTTAAAGTTGGAGGTTAATTCAGAAGGTACACTCAAGTCAATCAGAAATAGAATAAATTCATAATCTCACTTTAAGTTAGTAAATAAATCAAAAGAGCATATGGATTCAATGAAAAACTTATTGTAATTATTTTATGTGAAAATAAAAAAATACTTCTAAAAACTTCATAATCAAAACTTCTGATGTTTAATTATTTTCAACAATGTAATAATTAATGTTATGGTGAGATCACACTGTCGATGCCACGGGCAAAAGCTTTTTACTAGTAATTTTGTAGTGAGCAATATAAAAGCACCCTTACATTTTTAGAAAATTGTAACCCGCTGACCAACCACACTGATAGTGTATCCTTTTTGCTTCTATACAGATGTGCAAGAGAGAGCACACTATATTAGCTTGTCTCCGTGAACAAACTATAAAAGCATTTAGATGAAGCATTTTAATATGAGTAAGGTAAGTGTCTGTTAATTACCTCCGTCGTTAATGTCATCGTTATCGCTCCTTTTACCAAAGTCAGGAGCTACCATAAGTCTGGTCTTGGGCTTAAATATCCTGCGCGGCGCTTCATAGTTATCTAAAGGAATGTGATATGTATGTTATGAATTTGTGTAAAATGTTTGTTTGTTTGTTCGGTTGTTATGATTTTAAAACAAATGAATGTTAGCCGTAAAACCAACATAAATACCAAAAAACCAACGTAAATTATGTAGATTATAGACTTGCATTGTGTTAGTACTCATGCAATATTACAATCCTGTGCAGTATTATTACACTAGCAAACATGTTATAAAATGAAGTAGTCTCCCCTCTCTCTCTTTCTTTTTCTCTCTATTCTATCTTATATGTGATTTTGAACAAAAAAAATTTTATAGAGAATATAGGTTTTATTAAGGTTCAGTATGTTTCTTAGTTTATATTTTACGATGGTTATGTGCGTAAGTATTTACCAGCAAGCACGTTACCCACAACACAAGAAGCCTTATTGCTGCAATCGTAAACTCACGAGTCATATTTAATACATTCATATACAAAAGGCCACCAGTCTTATTGGCGTTGATAGATGTAGTATTAATTTTTTTCTTATTGTCTGTATATGTTTCAGTTATCAAATTATAAAACATAAAACTCATACAATATGACGACAAAAATCACTTTAAAACGAGCACGTAAATTATATTAGGTAATTATGTTCAATGACATTCCTGAAATTTAATAAGACCTTGCTCAATATAGCGACTGCAAGTCCGACATGAAAAGAGAATTCAGAAGCCTCCTTTAAAAGAATTGTTGCAATCGAAAATATTCACCTTCATCCTTTGCGATCTGTTTGCGAAATGTAATAATCGTCGAAGGGAACGTAACCAATGAGATCATTTTGAAGGTGAAAACTTTCAAGCGAAACATGACTCGTCCAAAAGTAAATTTGATTTTAAATAAGCAACACATAAAATACCCGTCCGAGGGTTTCCTGTGTCAACTTCAAAGGGATTTTTATTTGCCCCAACTCAAGCTGGACTGTTTGCCCGTTCCACAGTCTTATTACTGCCTTTCCAGTTCAGTCAAAGCTAGAAAACCGATAACACCTTTCAGTACCTTCGAACTCTGGTTCCGGTGTTCTTTTGCCAAAATCCCTTGCAATACCGACCGTTGGACTCTTAAATGTTGGTGTGCTGCGGCTTACGCGTTCTGATGACGATTGAAGCTCAACATCGCCTTTAGAAATTTCTTTAATTATCTTAGCATCCTTTTCAAATTTTGAAAATGCTTATTAAAAAAATATATATTTTAATACAATCAAACATATTAAAAGCTTTACTTTATTAAAATAAGATTGACTTTTACCTTTGGAAATGAGGTGATGGCCATGATTTTTTCAATAAAGAAATATATAATTAATTGCACACCATATATACATAAGAGTAATATGTTTTGTGATATCTCGCTAAATTTCTTTTTCAAAATTCAAATTATACGGTAACAAGTAGCTATGAAACCATTAAAGTTTTTTTTAATAAATTTTACGTCCCATTACCCATAAGCTTCTGTGCAACAACGTATGACTTGACAGGGCAAGATGGATGCCCCAGCACAAACTTAGAAGCTTAAAACTCTTTTAAAAATATGACACACTGCATTAATAACCGTTTAAAGTAATATACTTTGAACATTATTGTATGTTAACCTTTAAGTACTTAAAAGTAACTTTATGCACTGAGCACAACTTTTAATACTTTCCAGTTGGACACTTAACATCAATTAATTAACACAGCAAGAGTAATTTCTATTTGCATTTATTTGTGTCTCAAAACTTAGTAGGTTTTTCGATTTAATGTAGAATTTGTAATTTTAATCAATTTATGTAGTATTTTATACAAACAAGATGTTTGTTTTATTACAAGAAACTGACGTCCTAATACTCAAACTGACGTCCTAACACTCAAACTGACGTCCTTACGCTTACACATTACCTCCTAACCTTACCCTCTTACTCCTTACCTTACATTTATTGTCTTTTCAAGATAGTGTCGGTACACCCGGAGGCACACTTGTTATTTTTCTTTTATTTTTATAATTTTTACCGTGTTTGTTAAATAAATATTTTTCTATTCTAAGAATATAATAGTATATTTATATAAGAATAAAATCGTCATGATCGCAGAATAATGACGGTTCTGAAAAAAACACGAAATTTACTTTTTACGATATTTGGATACTATATTGCCTAAATATTATTACTACATTAAAGAAAAAATTATATGTATTTCGGATTTCAAAATAATCAGTCGGTAAATAGACGGATTTGATAGGCACTCATAGTAAAATGACGTTTGTATATACTCGTCATTATTCGACGCGCGGGGATCTCCCGCCATCCTCTCCCACTCCCGACGAATCCGCGCAATCGTCACTTTTCGTCGAACTCGCTCACGCGTTGCAGCGGATTAGATTTTTCTTAAACAATTGCACTAGTTTTACTTTATTTGCCTGTTTGTTAGCTATTGCGTGCCTAGTTTGTTTTATATATTATATTAAAAGGTGTGCCACAATGAAAACAGGACGATCAAAGCTTATGTTAAAACTTGTGGAAGAAACAAGCAAAAATTCGAAAAGTACGGGTTTTACTCATGAAGAGCGCATGGATGAGGAGGACTGCATACCAGGGACTCCAGGTAAGTTAATGAATTATGTATTAATATTATAGTATTACTTAATTCTTGTATTTACACATATTTTGCAAAGTAAATAAGTAAAGCGTCGGTTCTGAGTATCCGTCGGTTTTCTACGGAAAATATAAATCAATTTAAAATGTAATTTTTATAAAAATAATATTTGCTCGCTGATATTACTCCAATTATTATGTTGAGTTTTTGTTATATTTGAGAATTTAAATTTTCAAGTTGTATGTAACTATATTACATTTTTCTATGGACATGATAGTGACGCGTGGTTACAAACGCCGGTATTTTGTGGACACGCTTTTTTGTCTAACGGTCGTATCTGATCATCCCACTTTTTTCTTTGAACTAAATTCACTTCCGCCATTTTTCTATTGAAAAACTATGATTATTTGTATATATTTAATATATTTTTCTTTAAAAAAATAATCGCATTTGAGTAAAAATGTACCTGTATAAATAAAAAGAAGTACTTTTTTATACTTTCTAATCTTGTTATTATGAATAGTCTTACCGTTTTTAGTAAATGTTAACCTGTGATATTAATAATCTATTTATTTTTACATATACTGATATCTTTTCAGAATGCCATTCGCCATTACCTCCAGGAGCACGCAACGTAATAGAAGAGATGAACGACATTTGTGAAGATGTCTTTTCAGATGACGTACACGGAACAAGCGAAATCATAAAATCAACAAATGAAAATATGGACTCGAACATACCATCATCTACTTGTGTTCTTGAAGAAGATCTTTTTATGGCCGTGTATGAAAATGCATCCTCACCACATTTACTCGCGTCAGAAAATCAGCATGGTGTCGTGTCCCTCTTAAATATCACCTCAGCTCTAACCCCTTTAAATACTTCTACCCTGATATCAGACCTGTCACCTTTCCCGCAACCGATTACCCCGACTGTTGACAACAATGGACAAACACCTATGCCATCACCAGTAAAAACTCATGGTGAGGTATGTGTAATGACTTTTTTTGTTCCACTCACGATGGTGCAGACATAGCAACTGTCAATCAAACAAGCACAGCTGTGTCTTCATACCAGTTGTCTCCAGCGCCTCTTATTCGATATAGAGGTAAAAAACGTGTCCAAAATTATGACGATTGGGAAGAAATTAAAAGAAAACGCTTAGCAAATTCAGAAAAAGTATACATCTCCAAAAAGGGCGTTATTGTTCAAGCAAAAACTATAGGTAGGCCTTGCACGTGTAGATATAAATGTTACACTATGTTGACTCTCGAAGAAAGACAGGATGCATTTGAAAAGTTTTGGAAGTTAGGTGATCGTGAGAAACAATGGTTGCATGTTGCGAATTATACTACAAAACAGAAGAAGAAAAGGGGCCTTCAAAGAGATTTAAAGCATAACCGTCAATTTACTTACAATTATTTTTTGCCAAAGGGCTCATCAAAAATAGAGGTTTGTAAAACCATGTTTTTAAGTACGTATTCGATTAGCGAAAGGTTAGTTCGGACAGCTTGGAATAAATATGACGGAAGCACTTTAATAGAAAAAGACATGAGGGGGAAACATAAAAATCATAATCGGGTTGTTGACGATGAAATGGTAAAGTCGGTTTGTGCCCACGTTAATTCATTTGTACCTGTAGAATCTCATTATAACAGAGCAGCGTCCAAACGACTGTATTTAGATGGTGACTTGAGCATCGCTAGGATGTTCAATTTATACAAAGATTGGCCTGAACTTAACTATTATTCAAATACAGCTTCCAGTCTTAGACAGTACAGAGACATAGTTAACAGTCATTTTAATTTGAGTTTTCATCTACCCAAAAAGGATACTTGTGATCAGTGCCATAGTTTTAAACTAATACAAAATCCGCCTGATGAACTTAAAGAACAATATGCAAGGCATATAAATAGCAAAAAAAGTGTCTAGGATCTTGAAACAGAATGATAAAAATGACGCTGTTAATTCTAATGGACGCATAGTTTGTGCTACCTTTGATTTTCAGAAGGTTTTGTCATGTCCTCACGGGCAAATGAGTGTATTGTATTACAAGCGAAAGCTGTCATGTTATAATTTCACTATATACGATATGATCGGCAAACAAGGTTATTGCTATATGTGGGATGAAAGTGTTGCCAAACGTGGGGCCAACGAAGTAGCCAGTTGCGTTTATGACTTCATAAAGAAGTTTGTATCAAAAGGCGTGAAAGAGTTTCGATTCTGGTCAGACAATTGCGCTGGCCAGAATCGAAATCGCATAGTGTTTATTATGTATGCTCATGTAGCTAAAGAATATGATATAACTATAACACATAGATTCTTTGAAAAAAGGCCACACCCAAAACGAGGGGGATTCTGTCCACAGTGTGATAGAAAGGGCTTCTGAGCATAAAACAATTTATACACCAGATGAATGGAAATTACATGTACGTTGGGCTAAAGTAACAGGTGATTCTTATGAGGTCATAGACGTAAATCAGTCTTTAGTGTTTGACTTTAAAGATCAGCTAAAAAATAAAAACTGGGTAAAAAATACAGTTAACAACAAAGTTACTTGGACAAGCATAAAAGAAGTTTGTGTCGATGGAACTCAGAGCAGTAAAATCCGGTACAAATATGCTTTATCTGATGACTACATGACCCTGGTACTTCGAAAGGAGACTAGACAATACAATAATCCAATCTTATATAAAGCTTACGTGGGGCCAATTCCAATCAGTAATGATAAATATAAGGATCTTATTAGCCTTTGCGATTCTTCAATAATACCTATCAAATATCATAACTATTTCAGAAGTTTACCTCATGGGCGTAATGTTTCTGATAATAACAATGAATCTGATTGAATAATTGTGCTAAAGAATTGTTTTTAATAATCCTAGTTTCTTAATTTTTACTGTTTTGATCTCTGAATTTTTAAGGATTTATTCATTTAATTAACGTTTTTACTACCCTATCTACTAATAAAAATGATTGTGATCATATAACTTGGCTAACAAATGGTTAGTGTTTAAGTTTTAGATTAGTAATTTACCAAAAAAGGAAGAAATTAGGTCCAAATAGCTTCAACATTATAGTCTTCTTAATCTATGTAGTACAAAATAATGTTGTTTATAATTTCTTAATACAAATTCAGTATAAAGACTAGACCAAATAGTCTGTTTTATTTACAAGATACCCTACCTACCCCAACCTACTTACCTACTGTACTATTTACTTATCGAACACCTGGCTACCTTCTTACTCATGGTCAAACTGGAATATAACAGATAACACATCCGCCAAAATATTATTCGCTAAGTCAGTAGAACATGACTGGAAAGTAACATCCGTCATTCTTTGAACAGTAACTTTCCGAAGAAAAATGTCGGATAATACTATGTGACTGTCTTGACTCCAAAGTAAAATGAAGCACGTGATTTTTCAGGAAAACTGTATAATTAAAAGTTATTGTTTTCATTCCAGTTTAAAAGAAACCCCATTTTAAACCGATATGCCAATTTTCATAATTACAGATTTAGAATTAAAAAAGTTATGTCAAAAAATCTAACACAATTATTTGAAATAGCTGCCCTGTAAAGTTTAATAATTGTCAGATCCGTCACTATTCTACGACTATGACGAAATAGCATCCTATTTTATTCTTATGGTTATTGTAATAAAACACGAATGTAAATAATAAACACAAGTTAGGTGGCAAAGAACCTTTCACTACGGTGCTTCGTTTTAAAGTGCCAAATATTTCTGTGCGTGTAGGTACGCCGTATGCGGCGACCTTTGATGTTGCGGTGGTGATAGATTGAAAAACGAAATTTTAATTTCTAACGTAGAAAAATAATGATTTTCTATTCATTTAATTCCATTTCATAAAATATAAAGATATTTCACTAAATTTATCTTTCATGTATTCAATACCAATTTTGCTTCCTAAAGTTTTCCCCTTGTAAATCCAATTATTCGGAAAATATCTTCGAGGAAACCGCTTCGAGAACCTGCAGAGAGCTGAAAACGAAATTAACCTCTACCTAAATTAATACAAATACAAAGTTAAACAATACAAAAAAAAGCAGAAAGCTGAAATCGAAATTAACCTCTACCTAAATTAATACAAATACGAACGTTAACAATACAAAACAACAGAAATTCATTGTTTACTATCCCGCTGTATACTACAATGCCTTTCGAGCAACATTATATAACTTTTCACATATGTATTGAATGACTGCATTAGTTTAATAGTTAGCGTTACCCAAGTATTGAGTTCAAATCCCAGCTGGAGTTAACATTGATACAAAGATATAAACAATTAGTTTGTTTATAGTAGTATTTATGTGGGTACATTTGTAAGGCAACGTGTCTCAGGGCAGCACCATAAATATCACCGCAAAATTATCTGATGGTATCGAACTGCACAAAGGAACAATCTGTTTAGAAATTGAAAATTATTAAAAAAGGGGAGGAGATTTTCACAAATAAAACTTCCTGCCGAATTAGTAGTAGGTATTTATTGACGAAATTAGTAGTATTATTTGATAAATCAATTTAATAATATGTTAATGTAAAATAAAAAATTGTAAAGTATCAGTGCCACAGCCTTCTATACTATTCACCTGTTACACCCTATTTTTTCAGATGACAAAAAAATCCCAATATAATAATAAACATCTCATGAAATCACTGCTGAATACCTCACGACCTGAGAGAAAGATTTTGGATGGAGCGAAATCAAAGTATGGCTACCCCCTTGCTTGCCTGCACTATATACTAGTTGTGCATGTAAAGGTAAATCTCCTGTGGAGCTTCGGTTTACACCTAAGGTACCCTGAGGCCTGACGAGAAGATCCTGGAGCTGGAAGAAGAGATAGACAAGTTGCACTGGGATTATTATAGGATCATCTGAGGTCAGAAGAGAGGAGGAGAGCACGGTAATCCTCGAATCCTCCAACTTATTCTATTACCGGGAGGGCGACCATCTGTCCCAAGCAGGTGTCGGATTTATCGTCCACAAGTCTTTCGTTAACGACGTTGTAAAGATTGACTACTCAAATCACTTAAGGTCTGCACAACCTAATGAGGAAATGGAGGAAATGTATGAGGATATCTCTAAAACCATGCATTCATTCAAAACCCACTATACGGTTTTAATGGAAGACTTCAACGCAAACATATGTTGTACTCGTATTTAGATAGCGGCAGCGCCGTGTATCGTTCAGTGGTTGTGTAAGAATATCCACAACCCCATATGGTTCTGTTGGTGTTATAAGACGACAGAAAGAAACAAACCAGGAGATGGGTAGAAACGTGTTCCAAAATATAAAATTGCAGTTGCCAACCCGTCTACCAGGCGTGACAACTATGGCCAATATCCTCCATCCGAGACTATCTATAACGGGCTGCCGTGTGCTGAGGAAATTAAACTTTGATACTATCTGTCCGCGAATTCGCTCTTCGGAAATGCTGCAAGTCGCATTTAAATAAATAACGGAAAATAGAATGTTTATGTTTTATAAGAATAGCTACTCTACTTATCTCTTTTTATATTCAAAAATAATTAGGTATATAACGATCTCTTTGTAATAAATACGTTTTTTAAGACCAATACTGGATTACTAGTGTATACAAGGGTATATAAGCGTGGATTGCTTAAGGCATCAAGTAATCTTAATCCAGCACGGTAGTTAATAGCTTTTTAAAGCACAGTTGAGGCCCCAGACAGTAGTGCAGCGTTACATATATAGAAAACGCATGCTGTTAGACTGCATGGCATAATAATTAGACGACATGCTACGTGAAGAGAACCCTATTATAGAAATATTGTTTCTCAAAATTTTAAGCCACAATGTCAACGGTAGATTTATTTTTTCTTGCTTAAGGTATCCAGTGACAAAATTTGTATTTTAAATTTAAATAACAAAAATCTAAAAAACGGCTTAAAGGACAATGGTGAACTAACATACAAAATTTTTGTTGCCATTTTAAAAACTTCTACAAAATAAAAAACGGATTTTGTTTTTTGAAAATTATTTAGCCAAAATAGAGCGTGTAACACTCACATTTCGGATAACCCGCGAAGAAAAAAGGAGTTGCTGAATTTGTTAAGGAAATCTTACCCTTGAGGGACTCCCATAAAAAATCCATAAGAGTAAGTACCGGCGATCTTGATGGCTAAGGGATATTACTGAAGCAGCTTGTCAATTTGTTCAAAATAGCGTACACTGCTCAAAATGGGCCTCTCCGATATTGTGGAAGATTTAGCGATGATTTATCGAGGACATAGCCGACATAGTCCACCATTCATCCACTACAGCTTATAAAAGCCCACTGCTAAACTTAGGCCTCCCACATAGATTATTTCATAGGAAGGATTTTGCCATATATAGCTCAAAGAACCGACAAGCGATACCGAAGGCTCTTGAGCTGCAGCCTCGTACCGCTGGATGGATGGAGGTGGTTCGAGACTGTGTTTTATGGCATTTCTTAGGGGAACCTCATGTTTAGCAGTGTATTTGTGAAAGGTTGTAATGGTGATGATGATAAAGGCATTTTTGTGCCTAGGAGTTTGTCTAGATCGATGCCATTCTCTTGCCTATTTCCGCCACCAGACAATGAAGAACCCCGTACAAGCTCTAAAATAGTTTTCTTATTCCATATAGGTGACGACGCACCTGTTCTTTTTTTAAAGATGGTTGTAAGTCCATGGGCAATAAAATTAGCTCGTTTGTCTCCGTCTGTTATAAAAAAACTTGTTCTCTAAAGATGTGATATTTAAACAACAAAGGTTCTAAATTCATCCCATGTCAATATAAGTTCACGTGTCTTTTACGAAGTTTCAGTATTAATACGTGATGTCCTGGTTTATGAACAGATATGTTCAATGAAATAATTAGATTCTAATTTAGCATTGCGTTGCATTCTCATTCAATATTGATGTTGCGGCTTAATTCCTACCTAATCCGGGTTAGTATATGGTTTTCCGAATTCATTATATCCCCCCGAGAGTAATGAGTTGTATAAGATTTTCAAAGCGTGCGATTTAATATTGTGGCCTTATTAAGATTAAAAATAACGATCAATGACCATTTATTTTATCAATTTTTCAACTTCCTAAAAAAGTCTATATTCAAATATCTCCTAATTTTTCAGATTGAATACAGCTTCGATAACTATTACTTAATATGGGCTTTTGTATTTGGCAGAACCACACTTTTGTAGCCTCATTGAGTATGGATTTTTATCAACATTATCATTTATTATATCTGAAAAAAGTATATAATACACCGCCTCAAGAGAATATACTATGAACAATATTTCAGTTGCTTAGACCCTTCAAAAAGCGTACTTAGCTCATCTCTCCTCGGGGGACGTTCTGAATACGAAAAGCCATATTCCGGATATATGGTCGTGAAAATCGACATTACAAAAATTGTAAATTCATAATATTTACAGATGTTTTCAATATTTACAATAATAAAATTGAAAAATAAAATAAAATAACTTTAAAGCACCACCCCTGATGTCAGATCGATTTTACCCAGAATTCTAGTTGCATTTACCTGTCTAAAATCTTGGCTCTGGACGAGAAAGGAATCAAAATTCTGCGATGTTACTGTTTTATTAGGAACTTAACTAAGCATGGACTTTACGAGCTGTTCTTTACACCAGTTGGTCCAAACATAGTCTCATCTAAGTGACTCTAAGTGACACACTATTAATAATACGTAAAAATGATCATTATTAATATATTTTTGTTATGTGACAAAAGTAACTTACGTTCAGCCCTAGCTGAGGGCCTGTCACGCTTTCCAAAACCTCTGGCGGTCATCATTTCCATGTTCTTAAAGCCGCGAGTCGGCCGCTGCTGTTTTCTGGTCAGCCTTGCCTCTGGTGCGCCGTCAGCTAAGCACAGACACACGGCGACCACCACAATGACAACTTGCATTGAGATATTCATGGCTGCAGATAAAAAAATTATATTATTTTTGCGAGAATAGGAAAAACTGTAAACCCAATGTTGGGTTTACAGTTTTTCCTTGCCTTGAGGACTAGGGTAGGGAAGTAATATTAATCTTCAATAATAAGCAAAATGTTATAAGAAATAAATCTAAAACTACTCAACTTATTATTACAACTTTTAAGAGATTTAGTTTTAGTTAATTTCCTTGCTTTGTTTAAATCAGAACCAGAATCATTTATTTCGTGCATCATATGTATTACGAGTACATAGTTTTCAGTTACGTTTATAATGATCAACTACGCCCTCTCCTGTGGGCAAGTGAAGTACAATATTTATTTGCATATCAATTCGAGTAGGTACCTAAAAATACGTATATCAAATATTAATGAAAAGTAAACAAAACATTAGTAGATACAGTTTATTTAATTCAATCTTGCACACCGGTTCGCTAAAACAAAACCTTCTAATAGAAGCACTGGTAGGAATCTCTGGGGTCGCTTTTAAAGCTATTTTACAATTTCATATACAATTATTACTTATAAAAAATACAATATTGTGTACTGACGGTGTATGAATATCCACTGCGCGATATACGCTAGTGGCGACAGAGGAAAACAAACACGGAGATAGGCAACAGCATCTTTCCAATAACAATAAGACAATAGAAAATTGTGGTTGCTAACCTGCTTTGCTGAGCGTAGCAACTATGGTAATTATACCCATTATGGCTTATAAAAGGGTGAACTGTTTTGAGCAGTGCACTTTGATAAATTGTAATGATAATTATGATGATGACAATGTTAAAGGTATGTAACTATTTTAAAGAGTCTGTAACAAGTGCAGAGTGAGATTTAATTTCATCATTATGTACAAAAATACTTATGTAACCATAACTTTTGATTTTTTATTGTAATTCATTAAAGTTTCACACAAAGCACAAAAAAGGCTAAAATAACTATAATTACGGAAATTAATTGTCTGTTAAATTAATTTAAGGTATTTAACACGTTGAGCGCCATGTGTTTCTTTTTGGAAACACAAAATGCTACCTTCTGAGGCGGCGTGTTTCCTTTTGAATACACGGTCGACCCTTTAGTTCGAGGCCAATTGGATACTAGGAAACACGTTTTCATACATTTTAGTACGGAATCTTTTACTTCTGGCCTCCACGAATTTTTCAGTCCGAGTGGGTTTTTTATATGTCTTTTAGGTAAAAAATTATGGCAAAAATATAAAACACCTATTTTTAGAAATTACGTTTATTTGTATTATGCTCATTTCTTTTAGAAACACAAAATCAACAGTAGATAGATAGATAGAGGGGGATGAGTCGCTCGCGTCCGTAGGCTTCGACCACCTAACCTTAGGCCCACCCTACACGTGTCCCCCGGGTGGTGCTAAACGAGCGACAAAGCCGATAAAATAGACTCGGCTCCTCGCCGTATGGTAGCGGCGTAAAATCTACCACCAACCCTTGTTCGCACCATGACTCAAGAAATAAAAGAAATGGCCCCGAGTTCCCGGCGCCCTTTAAATGGGGCAGGGGTGCGAAGAATCTCCGGGAGAAAAACCGGCGACGAGGTTCGCCACCCGTCACGTTCTGTCTCCCGGAGGGGCGAAAAGTGGATTGCGGAAACCCGTCTGGCTACGCTGAATGTATGTGGAGGAATGAATGATAAGATGGATGAAGTATGCGAAATGATGAATGACAGAGGAATAGATGTGTTATGTGTGAATGAGACGAAACGAAAGGGAAAGGATGCCACTGCACATGGCACGTATACCGCGTATTGGTCTGGTGTAGGCGAGACCGAACGGGCATGCCAGGGAGTCGGTTTCATCCTTTCAGAAAGAATGGGTCAATGTGTGAAAGAGTATGAATGTGTAAGCCCGAGACTGCTATGGATACGAATGAAAGTGGGCTTAAAGAAGCTGTTCCTGCTAGGGGTGTACGCCCCAGACATGTCTAAGCCCACTTACATCCGAGAGCAGTTTTGGGACATGGTAAGGATGGTGTTGACAAAATGTAAGGAAAATGAAAATATTATTATGTTAGGAGACTTTAATGGAAGGGTTGGGGTGAAGAGGTCTGGTTATGAAAGGATATTGGGAACGTTTGGTGATGAAAGTATAAATGAGAATGGTGAAGACCTCCTCACCGTATGTGCGGAAAAGAATCTTTTTGTGACGAATACTTTTTTTCGTCATAAGAAGATTCACATGTATACATGGGAAAGAGGTGATGATAGAAGCATGATAGATTTCGTAATTGTGGATGAAAGAATGAGGAGCGCAGTCGTAGATACAAGGGTTTACCGGGGGTCCAACGTAGGGACGGATCATTACTTGGTCTTATGTCGAATTAATGGTCTTTTCAAGCGTTGGCGGCATCGGACATCTGTATCTACCACTGCGTTACAGCGTATAAGAATAGAGAAGTTACAAGATGAAGATGTGATAGAGAAGTATAAATGTAGACTGAGAGAAAATATTAGATGTTTGAATGAGTTGTGTATGAATGATTTAGACTTGAATACTGTGTGGGATAATATTAAGAAAGGTTTGGTGGATACCGCCACCGAAGTATGCGGTGTAAGTAAGAGAACAAATGAAAGGAAAAGTAATACGTTATGGTGGGATGATGAGGTACGGGTGGAAGTTGAATCAAAGAAGAAAGCATGGTTAGATTTACTAGCAACCAAAGCTGATAATTCTTCTGGTATGAATGATGAGATTGAAAGAAAAAAGGCAGAATTTAGACGTCTAAATAAGAGAGTAAAAGAAGTTGTTGAAAGGAAAAAGAAAGAAAGAACGGATAAGAATGATAGAAGGATATCTGATAATTTCCAGGCTAACATAAAAATGTTCTGGAAACTCGTAAGAACTGCCAGGGGAAATACAAAACAGCCTATAATAAATGCTATAAGAGACGAGAATGGATGTATTCTGAATGATGAAGTTTCGAATTTAAACAGATGGAAGGAATACTTTGAAAGCGTGTTTATGAGTGAAGAGTCGTATGAATTAAATGAACTAGAAATTCCGAAAGAAGTGGAAAGGGGTATGGAGATAAGTGTAGATGAAATAATGAAAGCAATGAAAAGCATGAAAGCAGGTAAGGCAGCTGGATATGATAGAGTATCACTCGAGATGCTAAGGGCTGGAGAGGGAGTGGTGGCAGGCCTGCTGTACACCTTGTGTAATTTATGTTGGGAATTAAAACGGGTACCGGATGACTGGTGTAAAGCAGTTATAGTACCAATATATAAAGGAAAAGGGTCACAGCAGGACTGCAAAAACTACCGCGGTATCAGCTTGCTTAGTATTGTGGGTAAACTGTATGCTAAGGTGTTAATTGAAAGAGTTATGAAAGAAACTGATGGAAAAATTTGGGATGTGCAAGCGGGTTTTAGAAAGGGAATGGGGTGTACAGATCAAGTCTTTTCCATGCGCATGATTGCGGAGAAGTTTTTGGCCAAAAACCAGAAAGTTTTTTGTGCGTTCATGGACTTGGAAAAGGCTTATGACAGAGTGGACAGGAATGTGTTATGGCAAACACTGAACTCATATGGGTTGAGCGCTGGTTTGATACAGGCATTAAGGTCTCTTTATAGGGACTCTAGTGCTTGTGTCAGGATCAATGGGGTCTACTCGGACTGGTTTGGCATCCAAAAAGGTGTCAGACAGGGCTGTGTGGCTTCCCCTTGGCTGTTCAACCTATTTATGGACCGGTGTTTGCAAACTTTGAAAGATGAAGAATGTGGGTTAAGAATGGGCGAGTTAACCGTCAAATGCCTTTTGTATGCCGATGATCAAGTCATACTTGCGTCATCGGCGGCAGAGTTGCAAATGATGGTTACATTAATGAACTGGGAATTAAAAGAAAGGGGAATGAAAGTGAACGCAAGTAAGACGAAAGTGATGGTTTTTGAAAGAGAAGAAAGCAAAACGGTATGTGAAATAAGAATAGAAGGAGAGTTGATTGAGCAAGTGGATGAGTTTGTGTATTTGGGATGTGTATTTAGCAGGGATGGTAGATATGATAGGGATATAGAACGACGAGTAAATGCAGGGAATAGAGTGAATGGGGCACTACACTCTATTATGAAGAACCAGAATTTGTCAAAACAGGCACGTATGGTAATTCATAATGCTGTGTTAGTCCCTACTTTAATGTATGGTAGTGAAAGCTGGGTGTGGCAGAAGAAGCACGAAAGTAGAATAAATGCTGTAGAAATGCGGTCTTTAAGGAATATGCTAGGGTGTAATCTGAATGACAGGGTGAGAAATTGCGTGATAAGAGATAAATGTGGTATGCAAGATGATGTTGTGACCAGGATTAAGAAAGGAATGCTTCGGTGGTTTGGTCACGTAGAAAGAATGAATGAGGAAAGAGTGACAAAGCAAATTTATATGGCAGATGTGAATGGCCGAGTCGGGAAGGGACGCCCTAGGAAAAAGTTTATCGACCAAATTGGCGATATTTTGAAAATGGGCCACGTTAGAAGTACCCTTAACCGACGAGCATGTATGCGTAGATATATGGATGTAAAGGAGGCGAAAGAGGTATGTCAGGATCGTGCCAAATGGAAGTCCGTAGTCTCTGCCTACCCCTCTGGGTGACAGGCGTGAGTGTTTATGTGTTTATGTCTTATAGATAGATAGAATATAACAGGCTGGTGTAATTAGTAGTTTTTTTTTACGAAAAAGTAGTTAGTAGAGCTTGTCAAAGTGATCTGTACATAGCAAAACTTGGCAAATAGAGCAAATTCTCTTTGTTTGTTTGGAAAATTTGCGTTTTACTTCAACAAGTTTTCCTTGCCTTCCATACATCTTATAGCCTATCAGATACACAACGTCCTTTCATTTTTTCGGAGGGTTTTCCTTGATATTGAAAACCTGTCTGTGTCGCTTGTTTGATGTTGGTCGTGGGGTTAGTGGGTTTTTGTCTTCTTGACGTGAGTATTTGTGAGGCATTCCTCTGATAACTGCCTAAA